TTGTACAATCGGCTTAGAATTCAAAAAAAATTAAAAAATAAATCTGCTTTTGTACTCAAATGACTTTTCCTATTTTATTCACACATATGAAACTTTTTTATCAGAATTATTACTAAATAATGAAGTAATATACATGAATAAATTACGTAACATACTATGAAGAAAAATTATTTTCCGTATACAATTAATATTGAGTTTCAATTAAGATTTCATGTATTATTTCATATAATTAAAACATTATAAGCGCGCCCTATTTATTTTGAATATATGTGTGTATAATTATTTACACATATTGACTCTAGTCCTCCGTTTTTTCAAAATAAATTAAATAAAAATTTACGCCTTTTTAAAAGTGGATATCTCAATGAAAATTGCTCACGGCATATTATTAGAATATTATATGTGTATGTGTGTTATATATAAAATATTATAAAACGCGCTATTTACTTTTTATAAATAATAATAGACAAAAATGTTTAAAATATTGCGATATCTCTTGCAATATTGAAGCATAAGAATATTAAGAATTTCTTTTATATCTCGTGGGATGCTATCCAGAACTCTAAGTAAAAAACCGGAATTGTGAAAAAATTTACCTTCAAAATATTTAAAATTAATTTAAAATATATACTTATATAGAAAATTTAATATTTTTGTGTATATATATATGTCGTAATACGTTTGAACTTAAGAGCTTGTTTTTATACCAAAGAATCGTTGATAAATTCGGGAAATTATATTTCAATTTTTATAAATATCATAATTATCACTAATTCTTCTAGTATTTAATAGAAAAATAATTGAATAAGAATGTGAAGACTTCATGTTAAACTAACGATTAAATATTAGCTTTTTGTTCACGAAATTTGATTGCCTTCGACATTGCAAAATCGCAAATAAATTATCTCAAATTTCATGATTTTGATTTGATTGATATTTACGGATTTCGTATCGGAATTAAATACTCGTCAAATAAATTAATAAACTACATCGTGAAAACACCGCGTTCTTTCTACGTTCTTGGACGCGATCGCTGTCTTAGCTAAGGGGCCTTATCGCTGTCCCTCTCGTCAGATAAACGTTAATAATGTTTCGTACCGGCGAGGAGTCGAAACAATCTTCATTGTGGAGAATTATTTCTTGTCGGTTCTTGTAAGATCCATCCGCGACGTCTAGTTCGGTGCCCTGTTGAAAAATGGGGATGTTCGTTGCAGGATTGGAATTAAATCCAGGTTTTCCTGGCGATTTCTGAAAGCAATGGTTTTGGTAGTAACTCAACGACGACTGCCACACGCCTTGTATTACATTTTAAATTATATTTTATATTAAACTTTGTATTATATTTTGTAATATATGTTTGTAATATAATTAATTCTATATTAAATATATAGAATTAATTATAATATATATATTTTGTAATACATTTTGTAATATACTTTGTATATAGTTTAAATTTTTTATAATATGTTTTGTAATTATATAGTATATATTTTGTAAATATATATTATATATATCTTACATAATTCTTTGGTTTAATATTTTTTATTTTACACGTTTGTAAAACCTATTTATTAAAAGAAACCTGTATATTAGATAAAAACAAAAATTTCAGATTATATTTTGTATTATATTTTTTGTATATTGTTATATATTTTATATATTAAATTTATTGTATTATTTATTGTGTATTAAAATAAATAAAACTTAACCTAACCTAACCTGAGAAATAAAAAGAGAGGAAACAAATCATCCTCATACATTTTTCCTCCTCGATAGTATCTCCACCTTAACGAAGGCATTTGCCGGGTGAGGAGGTTTGAGTACTCTAATAATACTCTAATATCTATCATATGCCGGCAGTAACAAATAATGTTTTCGAGTGAAGCAAGTTTGATCATTCTAAGATCGATTAATAACGTCATATATTCCGTTTTGATTATTAAAGATAATTATTAGATTAATCAATGAAATACTTCAAGTAAGTTTGAGTGATTAATCAGGGCTAAGAATTTTGTGCTTTAAAGCCAAAATAGCAACAAAGAAGGGAGATGTACTTTATATTAATTATATTATTAATGTATCATATATTTATATTAATCAGATTCTCTTAAAACTTATTTTTAGTCAAACATATATTCATAGTAAATTGGGTTTAATCGCTCTTAAAGCGATCAAACTTGCTTCATAGAAATATTTTGATACGTGATACAACATAGAAAAAATTGATTTCTGAGAAATAGAGATTTATTTTACTATAATTTTCCTATAGTTTTGTTCGTAATCTTTTATTTTTTTTAAAGTTTTAATCATTAGCAGCATTAATTAATTCTTTCACGTTCATATGATCGCTCGATAATAGATATACTGTCAGATTTTCGCAAAATATCATACAAAAAGATCGAAATATTTCTTGCAATATTGGTTAAACAAAATTAAAAGTTTCTTTTATATCTTGTGGGATGCCACCTCCCAAAAATCTACTCTTTCCCCAGTACTAGAATATATCTTTATGCAATATAAGGAAGATTGTGATTTCCAAAACGCGATAATTTTATTATGTATTCCTATTATATTTTCTTATAGTTTTAATCTTGTTCTTTCGAATTCGAATGAGTTTTAATCATTAAAAGCGTTAATTAATTTTTTCACATACACACACATATTTATAAAATTATTTAGATATTAATTCTAGTTACCCGTTTTTTCAAAATTTTTTATACACACATACTTAATATTTAAACTGTCGAATGCGCGGCTCAGCCATGACAGTCTTTTATTGATATAAAGTAATACACAGCGCAGTGTCGAGATAACGAATCAATATCGCGGAAAAAAAGCAACAATACTTGCAAGTATCGATTTAATATGCCTTTTTTAAGAATGGATTTTCTTTCTTTTAGATATGCAATATTTTGTGTTTCAAGCTATCGGTATAATTATTATAATTAGCTATCGGTATAGTATTTCAAGAACACTCACTCTGACGGGGGCGAAGATCTGGTCGGGTTTGATGTTCTCTAAACGATGCTCCTGCTCGCTTTTATGCACCAATTGCAAATGCGGTTGAAAGTGCGCCGGACATAGGGTACCGAGCGGAAGCGGGGAGGCCCATGATGGCAGGTGAGGTGGGTCGCGAGTGCCCAGCTCCCTATAGAAGGTCTTCAGGAATCTGCAATAATATGGTTCGGGGAAATATTCAATCTGTGGGTCTCGTAAAACAGAAATTCTTCGAGTGAAGTCGTAGAGCGAGGATAAGCCGAATTTCGAGAGATTCCGGAGATGGGCATGATGAAATAGTTTCGGTGTTCCAAGCAAGATAAATGGGAGAAAATTGGTTATTGCGGGATTCCAAATTGTTGAAAGCATAGAGGGAATAAAATGATGAATGTTTTAATAAATTTCGAGGTGGATTTTAAATCGCGAGCAATTTTTCTATTTTTCCTTAAAAAATTACTTATTACTACATTTAATGATTCTATTCTTTTCGATATAGTAATAATATAATTATACCGAATTTTTTATAGTTTAATCTATTTTTTTTTAAAGACATTCTTTAGAAAAAAAGTTAAAAATCTCAATTTGATAGACTCGATAAATGAAAGAGATTAAGTATCACGTAAAGATTCGATACATGGTTCGAGAAGTGCAAAGAGCTCATGTCAATTTAACATAAGTGATCTTCCATTTACCGGGTGATCGGTAAATTTCCCAAGACGACAAAATGGTAATACGAGCAAGATATTGGATGATGCATTCGTGTATACCTCTTGCCACAGAGATTGATGGTTACAGCAGGAAAGCCCGCAGGGCTATGAAGGTAATCAGGAGAAGAACGTCCCGAAGGGAAGCGAGCAAGGAAAGCCCGTGAGGCTTTTACGACTTCCGGGTGATCGGTCTTAAAGCTTGTTCTGATTTCATGAAAGTCATTAGATCGTATATTTATCTTGCACACACGACGGCTTACCTGACTCGCCTCAATAAATATTTCTAAACATATCGAGCACATTTATAATTTAAAATACTCCCAATCGTTTTAAGATTGCTCACTAAAGTCGAGTAAATTTATAAAACTGAGTTTAACTAATATTAAATCTAAATCATATCATATTAATTATACAAAGAAAATAATTTATTTAATCACGGTTAGTATTCAATTCGCGTAATGCTAGAGTAATTAAAATTACAATTGTAAAACTATTTCCGTGAAAAAATTAAGTTTTGAAAAGATTGGAAAAAAAAGTAGAATAAGCTTGTATGGTATTCAAATATAAAATTGTATATAATATATATAATGTGAATCATATATTCTCTTAATTTTGGCTCTATATAAGAGCTCTCTTCACATGACCAATATAATTGCAAAGGTTTTTATTAATATTTATATTTTTAGTTACAATAAACTTAAATACTTTGTAATCTTCAACAATATAACGAAATTTGATTCCAGGATATCTGCAGTATTTAAATTAATATTATCAGTCATAATATAATTAGGAATTCAAGAAAAAAATCGCAAAACAACCTGGAATTTAAATTTTAAATTGTAATGGCGATTAATTAAAACGTGCAACATTTCGAACGTAAAGTTTTTCATATAATCGTATCTATTTATATCGAGTAAAATTACCTCTCCGCGAGAACATTGTCTCATCCTGAGACAATGCGAACGCGAGCGTCAGCGGACAAAACACGCCTGATGAAATTAGACTTTCTGAGAACGACGATTCCGCTCCGGAGAAATAAGGATATCGCCTCGTAGCGAAAGAGCTTGCGGATGAACTACATTGAATGAGTGACTCACCTTAACAGTCTTCCCAGGGGATCCCTTTCCGGGGATGTGGGCCCGCCGAGGCCACTTCCGGCGAGTCTACGCGAGGATGCGCGCGCGCTCGATATGTATGCGGCCGGCGCGGGTGGCGGGCTGCAAGGCGGACAACAAACGGGGCTGCTACCCCCCGGGGTCGAGAGCGTATAACTCCTCTCCAACTCCTGCAACAGACAGAGCAAGCGGTGGTTATGCAACAGCGGAACCTCAGACTCGCGACATGATGCCGTCGAGTTACGTTGGAGTATCTCGGAACCGCCATGGATATCTATCTAATACATGAGTTATATAATTCAGAATTTCTAATATTCGTGCTAAAACTTTATTATTTCTGTCAAGATTTAGAGAAATTTCGTCATTCGATAATAATGATCTATGATTAATTGCAATGATTTATGATTAAACATTCAAGAAAGAAACAGGAAAAAATACAACATGCTTTAAGATTCAAAGAAAATTTTATAGACCTAACGATTTAAGCTGCTTTGAATTCCAAAAGTAAAAAATTTGAGATTACAACGTAACGTATTCCATAACTTTATCTGTTCTTATCTGCATGTATTTTGTTCAAATTAGATTTCGAGAAGAAAAGAAGGAAAAAAAAGAAAAAGGCTTATATCTGCTAAAATTACATTTCTTTATTTTATATATTGATTCATATTTTATTTCTCTCCATTTTGTCAGTAAAATAATTAAAAATAACGAGTAAAATAATATTTTTGGTATACTGGAGACTTAATGGAGAATTTCAGATGTGTTTATGATAAAATTAAAGAGTTTTGTAGTTTATATTTACTATAACATTTATTACAAAATGTGCGCACGCATGCGTTATCATCGACAATTAATTTATACAAAAATATACTTTATTACGGTTCAAAAATTTCTCTAAATTATCTTTTATTTTATAATTTTTTTAGCAATGTATACTATATATTAATTTATTTGATTAATTGTTCATGTTCATTCTTCTTTTTTAATCTTTGTTGAGATCTCATTTCAGCATTTATTAGAATGGCATTAGAATTAAAAAACACGTCGAATAGTTGGAATCGCGTGAATACAAACTCGGCGGACGAACGATCGCGCGTTACGACTTTCTCAGAAATCTTCACAATGGAAGCACCAGTTTAAGACGCGAGTACGATCGGAGCAAAGAATCGAATTTACGATTTCGAGGAGAGTCGTTCGCGAAGAGCGAAGCTCCTAGCTTTAAGCGAACGTTTGATCCTCGCCGTCTTCGGTGGTCTAGTTAAACCCAAGGATTAAGTTTCGAGAAATTTTCAAGCGATTTTGCGAGAGGTCGGACTTTATCGCGCGCGTGTGCACGCCTTCACGCTGTTAACGGAACTCGGAGATTAAACTTCGGAAACTAAACTAGACTCTCGAGATTTATACGAGATGCTTCTCTCTTAGATTTAATTAATACACATCAAAGTTAGTTTCATTTTTCAATGTTGTTGCTCTAAAAAAATCTTATCATTAAATTTAGAAAGATTTATAACAAATTCGATAGTAATTATCCATGACTAATATTTTTATTCATAAATAGTAAAAAAAATCTAATTATATCAATATTCAAAAAATTGAAGATTCAATGATTTAAAATCTTTTCGGATTTAAATAATTGTGTAAAGATTACATTATATTTCATGATAACATGTCTTTGTTTGCATACGTTTCATTAATCTCGCTTTATTGAGTTTCGTAAACAACACATTGTGAGAGATTTCATTTATTAACAAGGATACACATTATTAAATCAAAATTTTCATAAAATTCAATAAACGACATATAATTTTGATCAGACAAGTTTATTATAGCTGCCGAACTTTCGTTATTAACGTGCAACGTTTAACTTTTTGACGGCAAATCCGAACGGGATCAAAGCTTCTTCTTTCCTCGTCGAGTTTCGCCGACAGTTTCTAGGAATTTGCAGCAGGAGATCGTTGCTTGAAAAGGGATCGGCAACTTTTTTTTTCTCCAACCGACCAGTTTGTACGGTCGATCGGACGCGATTTAAACTATCGATTGTCTGCAACTAATCAGTAGCTCGAGCCGCTAGTCGGCAGATATTCTCTTAATTACCCGACTATATATTTCCGCCAATCCGGGATTGCTTGTTTGTTCCGTTTAAAAGAAAAAAGTGGAACTTCCGGTGCGAAAATCCTATATCAGGCGGCTAATCCGGAAAACAGTACCTTTGTATCGCTTCAACGATTCCATTCAAATCTTTCTTTCTCCTCACTATTTATGCAAGCTTTTCAGTAAAGATACTGTGCAACGAATAGTCAATTAACGTTGCATAAATTTCGTGATATATTCAGATCGTAAAATATTTTAAAATTTGACATTTAGAAAAACCTATCGTTCTAAATTTTATTTTTACGAAACAGCAATTTTCACAATTATGTTCTAATAGCAATAATTCTATTTCCCGAATTATTTCTCGATAGCAAGGATTATAAGATAAAACCTCGCGCAATTTTCATCTTTATATTTGCCGTTCATCCAGATAGACGAAAGTGATGTGTTTAAAATACCTATAGATATGCATTTTTTTCGAACTTTTTCGAAGAAGCGAAAGAGAAGAAGGACAGGACTTGGCGTCGATTAAGCTTTGATAATCGCATTACTCTCGGATATTAATTCCGCTCGAAGACAAGGCTGCCTGTGACGACCTTCACTGAGTCGGGATGTTAATTGATGAAATGAAATAACGAATAAAGTAGAGAGATCTCTCTTCCATTCTCTTTCTCCTCGCTCAGGAATCCTATTAAATTCTTGAAAACGATAGAACTTTTGCAATCCGATTACGAGGATAATAGTACATCTTTATTAACGTACCTTATTACCTTCCTTCCTCTGTATTCTGTTCTATCTACTTTATGTATATAAGATCTTTATTCTATTAGACGCACATCTATTTATCGTAGATTCTTAAATTCTGCGCTGGTTTAAATATGTACGTTACTCTCGTATCTCCCAAGCTTTTCTATCCATAAAATCATTTTTCTTTCTTTCTAAGAAATATATTTATTATAAAGATCGCGATAATAATAAAATCGCGTTTATGTAATTCCGGTTTATACATCTTAATATACATTATAGATTCGGCATAGTCATTACTCTTCCGCGCATCGCCGGGAATTTCTAGGCATTCTCCGAACTTTGTGGGGAGACGAGAGGATGAGTTTTCTCGAATCTCGAACACAAGGAGCTGTACGTCTAAAACGGGACGCACACAATAGCCGTCGAATACCGCAAAACTATAATACCGGAACGGAATGGAACGACGGAGGTTCCGACGATCGAGTTGCAGAGAGGGCATAAAGGGAGAGGTGAGCGCCTCAGCATTAATCCGAGATAATTGCAGTCATAGTAGAGACGATAAAGGGGAAGGGGCCGGCGCCCTTCACGTTTTCGATGCAGGCACGCGCCTTCTTAAAGGACTGCGCCGTCCTTTTGGTTCTCCCGCCCTTCGATACGAGATGCTTTGAGAAAGGAAAGTTACGCGCCTTCGTACTCATTAGCGCGTGAGATTACAGGTCGAAATTATGCAAGCGCCGCGTAAGACGAAGAGAAGTTCGCGACACGAAGTCATATCCTGCGTACGCGATACACACGCCTACACCTGTGTGCACAGCGGTAGAATTTACTTCGCAATTATCTGCAGGTTACATTAGCTGTTGTTTCACCGAGGGTAACGAGCGCGACTAAATTTTCCGAGTGCGTCTAAATAAAGTTATTATTATCTAATTAAGCGCACGAGTTCATTACGCGAGAATAATTTAAAACGTGCATGCAGAAACTCGGCTCCGCAGTACATAATGCCTAATAATTCTTTACATTCTCTAGATGTTCGGTAAAACGGCCTCAAATTGGGACGCGATAATTTAACCGCACGTGTAGAATTTTTCTTTTTCTTTTAGAATGCTATTAGCTTATCAATTATATTCTAATTAAATTCATTAGAGAGAGCATGTAAAACATCGACTAAAGAAGCAAAATTTAAAAAACAAAGACCATTTAAGGAAGTAATATTTGTAAAATATATTGTTTAAAAATAGTATCTAAAATGTCGTATTTATTTAGAAAAACAATATCATCATTTATAACAGATATTTAAAATTCACACATTTCGCCTTCCCTAAAAAAATAAAATATTTTAAAAATATTAGTGATAAATACATTATATTAAAATTTTAATATTATATCAAAATTTTTTTTTCTTCGAGATGTTGCTCTTGATATGCACATTAATTTACTTATCGGTCGTATATGTTCGTCTGCACGCAGGTGCATTTCATTTGCGACTCATTTGCATTTAGAGTGACGCGATTATATCGCGCTCGCTGATTTATTTAATTAATTAATCAGTTTTATCGTATTCAGCGATTCATTCATCGCTAATATGTCGCGATCAAGTTGCACCACGTACTAACATAAGTAAGCCTTGTGTTCCAGATATCCCCATCGCATTTCGAATAACCGATGAGAGAATATTCATAAAAGCATTACCGCTCGCGTTAATAGATAGCGCCGAGGTATGCGTAATTGAAACCGCGTAATTAGTAAAACGTGCTTAGCATATTTTGCATAAGCAGACGCGTAACACATTTCAAAGGTGCATTCATTCGTAATTAACGCGATAGTCGCGATAATTTAAAGAACAACAAATAACTGAGGAATTGATTGACTTACTATTCATACACAAGATGTTTCAGAATATCCGAAGCCCTTTTTCATGGCTTGATACTTTTAATCTATCATAGCGGAAATCTGACAAAGTGCGATCGTGTAGAAAAAGTTGTACTCTCGTAATTAAAAGTTCGTTTATTACGAAATTAAATTTGTGACAGAAACTGAACCGCGTTGTATAGACAGTGATAAAAGCGTTCTCATTGGATTGCGTCGTGCGGTTTGTTTCAACTGTTCATTGTTAGGTCGCGTAAATTGGTCGGGGCAATGTAAATTCGCAATATAATTATTATCGTTCTACTATAATGCGCGATCTATAACGAAGCACGCTTTTGAGTAATATGCATTTACTGCGATATTCGATATGACATGATAGTTTCATTTCTATTTCATTGATGTGATTGTCGAAATAGAGAAAACATACAAAATTTTATATAGTAAAGATAGAAATAAAATCTGCAAC